GTCCCGATTCCATTTTAATCCAATTATATATTAAAATGGTGACTTGGTGGCGCAGTAAGTCGCGTTAACGCAGGAAAAATTCAATTCATAGCGTAAGCGTTAGGATTTCACGTAAACACCTGATTATTAGTGTGATCGCTAGAAATTTAGCGTCGACAATCTAAAAATTTAAACTGTATATAAGCACTTGAAATTCCATAAAATAAATGATCACATCCACCGTCAATTATAAGAAAATAATAGAAAAACATTTCAATATTATTGTGAAACATTTGTTTTCATTTGTATAGTTTATGTTTTCAATTTAAAACTTTAAATCATAAAAAGAAAAAAGACGTAAAAACAGCGATGACGTAAACTGTACAAATGAGAGTTTTGGTGCATTCGTCAATAAAAATGGCAGAACAATAATTATTTAAGTAATCATTTTAATAAAGTATGATATAATCTAAAAAAACAACCAAGAAATAAGAAACAATATAAACAAAACCAAATTTAACTATCTAGTCAATATTAAAAATGCCTGTATTATTTTAAAACTATATATACTATATATGACTATTAACAATTCGTCTAATTTAACTAGTATTTCCACATAAGCTTTAATTCAAACGATCTAACAATTATTTCTACCGGTAAATATCCTTGAGGACTACCCGTAACGTGTATGCCATTTAAGCTCACATATTTTAAATCTCGTTTATAAGAAAATACAATCCCTCCACTGTCACCGTGACCAGATATCGCGCTTGAAAAGGTTATTGAAGATTTGAGTTCTTTTTTTAAATTTGTAAAAAATCCATTGAACCCAATTACGTATCCACAAGTAACATGCGTAGTGTGACCAGACTTACATATATGAGCACCATGACTTGATACAGCTATGTCATCATAAATTATCAATTCATCATTTTGTTTGGAATCAGTATTTCTTATAATCAATGTTGAATTCATTTTCGTGTTGATATGGTTGATAATTTTATCGTTATCTACAAAGATTAAGCCAACATCTAACGGATGAGATTCTTGAAGTTTCATATATCCAATATAAGTGCTATGGATCTTTGTATCCCATGGACGATAGTAAAAAAAGGTTCTATGATGGGTAATATTCCGAGAGCAATGTCCTGCTGTTACAATGTAATCGAATTTTAAGTCATTTGATTTTGCCCAAAAGCCCAATGAACATGTCTTACGGTCGTTTTTATTGTATAATCCATCTCCACTCAGGATTTGAATCTCTAGATTATCTGTATCCATACCATCTAATTCATCAATATCAGAAGATGGAATATCACCAAATTTATTAAACTGTATAATTTCGTTATATTGTCTAATTTTTCTGACGGCATTAAAAAACTTTCTATTTAGTTTATTATTTAATAACAATGATTGTAAAACGACGTAATTATGTTTTATATCAATGTAACAACTAGTACCCAAGGGTCTAAGACTTTCAGCTAGATTTAATATTTGGTCAAACGTGTTTCTTAATGTAGCTAAGGAATTTTTTACTTTTCTGTAAATGAATAAAGATATATAAGCTTGCATCCTAGATTCTATAATATCTTT